GCACACTGAGGCGAGCCATTGTTTTAAGAGCTTTAGACCGTGTCCCCTGAGGACTTTTACGAGAGTTCAAGTGGAGAAACTTTCGGCGCTTATGGTAGTAAATCTTTTCAGATCCGGTCAAGTGGCGTGCCGACTTTTCCGTATCTTGCACTGATTGGCTCCGTGGATTTAGTGTATTTAGTGTGTTTAATAAACGAAATAATGTTTGAGCTACAGCGGTCTCCAGTTGGAATTTTTCACGGCTTCGAGAATAGGTTGTTGAATTTGTTTGTGGTTGTTGATCGAGTTGTAACAAATGCTTCGGCATCAATTCTTCACGCAATCTTTTCGCACACATCATGGACCATGTATTTGTTTTACTGTATCACTTTTACGTTCTTCTCAATATCGTTGACTCGAGCGGCTGGAGTGGAACTCCGCTATTTTTGNCTTGATTTGTATTTATCGTGATTCTCGGACGATGTGACCCTAGAGGTTTCATTATCGAGGTTCGTTGTGAATATGCAACTTCAATCTTATTGTTAATTAGCAGTACCGTGTCAATAATCAATCAAACCCTATTTTGACGATCGTCTTCTCTCACTGGGATAAGTTCGGGCAATATTTGACTACGTGAAACGTATTGTTATCCGGATTGATCGTTCGGTGGGATTTGACAGACGTATCAATACTGACGCACGCGTAATTCATTCGAGACGGGTCCTCCAGAATCAACATAGGTGTCGATCAAATGACCTTGAGTTTTTAATACAGCCGCTTTTGGATGCTGCGCGCTTTCCGCGCTGTACCTAGTAGCTGTGTCTGAAAAACGTTGTGAGTTGAAACCTGAAGGTTGCCAGGTACTGTCTTTCCACTGTTGGAGGACCTCACCGGCCGCGATGTCTACTGCTAAGTATAGCTTTGCACCAGGGTCCTGATGTGTTAATGAAACAGTATTTGAGACTTCTAATTTAATGGCATCGAAAGCCTGTTATGCTGTTGTATTTAATTCGATAATCGTGGTGTCCCCCCGAGCATGTCTGTAAGTGGACGAACTACATGGGCGCATTGTGGGATAAACCTACGATGGTGGTTGATCATTCCTAGGAAACGACGGAGTTCGGTCTCTGTCATAGGTGGGGGGAAATCGCGAATTGCTACGATTTTGTCTTCGACCTGACGGAATCCTTGACGATCAATATGGTGACCTAGAAAAACTAAGGATTCATGGCTTAATTCGCAATTTGCGGCATTAACGGTAATATAATGTTGCTGTAGGCATTGACAAAGTTTGCGTAAGTGCACTTCGTGTTCGGCGGCGTCCTTACTTGCGACAAATATCTCGTCTAAATACAGAAAAACGAAATCCAATCCGCGAAGGACCTTGTCGAAGAAACGCTGAAACTTCTGTGCTGCATTGCGTAGTTCCAACAGCATTCGAATGAATTCTAAAAGCTCAAACGGGGTGATGACAGCGGTCTTAGGCATATCCACCGGGTCAACCGATGTTTGGTCATAAGCCCTAACCAAATCAGTTTTACTAAAGCTTCAGTCTTCAGAATTAAGGGCAGAGGGCAGGGTGCCCGTGTAAGCTCCATCACCACTGGGTCACAGGTCCGATCACAAGTGTTCGTTCCTCCATAGCCCCCTCAGGTTCTCATCCAGACGCCGTTTGAAAGTAGTGCAGTCTTCTCTTCCACCACAATCGCTGGAAGGGAATTTCAGAGTGTTGTTGACCTACCCGAGATTCGGTAGACTAACGGAAGACCAACTGACTGAAATTTCCGCAACGTGAGAGAGTACCCCTGCGTGCGGTCCTCTTTCCGTAAAGGGAAGTGCTGTTGCAGCTCCGAGCCCATATCACCTCTCGGGATCTTCCTCAGGCAGATAAGATTTCCCCTGAGGCGTCGATACGCAATTGGGTACAGACCAGTAGCCTGTAGACGACCTTCATTGCTGGTCCTGCGTAGTCCAACAACGAGACTAGTGGCAGCAAGTTTTATACGCTCCAACTTATCCAGTTCACCGGCCGCGCAGTGATATATCGCCGTATCACCATACGCAAGTCTTGGTTTGACATGGGATGCGTACAGCAGCCTGAAAGCGTCCATCGTGAGCTGGTTGAAAGACCGCCGAATAGGCCCCAGAATGCTCCATGCGCTAGCACAAACCCGATCAGTATTTTCTTGGATCTTTATTGATAACGTAACCATAACACCCAGGTCTCGTTTGCACGATGTTCTGCGCAGTGTGGTTCCCTGGAAGTTGTAGACTACCTTGGAGTCAGNTCAGCCCGCCCCAAGTGCAGGTGAGCACATTTTGCTGTGTTGACTGGAAGAGCGCAGGTATCTGCCCACTGAGCCAGGTTGTTCAAATCCGCTTGAAGAGAACTTCGATCATTCGGATCCTTGATTGCACGCCAGATTTTGATGTCATCCGTATAAATGAGGGATGGGCTGCACAGTTGACCGGACAGGTCGTTCACATAAACCACAAAGAGCAATGGACCAAGAACCGAGCTATGGAGGACCCCACCTGGAGCGGAACACCACGTAGAGAGCGATTTGCCAACACGGACGCAGAATTTCCGGTCGATGAAGAAATCTCCTAGCCAATTCCGCATGACCACACCTATACCTAGGTTGGACAGCTTTCGCAGAAGGAGGTGGTGCGGCACCTTGTCGAAGGCCTTGCTGAAGGGTAGCCGCTGAGGGCATAAGGTGGTTTCCTATTTCACCTGCACCATCAGTTGAAGAANTAAAGTTTGTTGCGAGACACGACAGGCCGAGTGCTAAGCTAGTAAGAAACTACGCCAGGATCAACGAGGAGCAATTAAGGGTAGCCGCTGAGAGCATAAGGTGGTTTCCTATTTCACTTGCACCATCAGTCGAAGAACGATGGGTGGTAATACGAGACGGGTTGCTACGGTTAATGCAAGAGTTTGCTCCCTTAGTGCCTCGCAGATCCAGAAACAGACCGCCTTGGTGGTCGCCTAGAATAGAAAGAGCGCTCACATCGCGCAGAAGATGCTGGGCGTTCTACAAGCTTCACGGAACGCATAGTTCTTGGGTCAACTACAAGTTGGCCAGAAATAAAGCACAGACAAGGCAGAGGGAAGCTAAGTATGAGCACGAAAAGAATCTAGCTAGGGATATCAAAACAAACCCGAAGAGGTTTTTTGCCTATGTACAGTCTAAGGGAACCACACCTGAAAGTGTTGGAACCTTGGAGATGGCTAACGGGAACATAGCTAGTACAGACAAGGACCGGGCTGAGGCGCTGATGGACTACTTTAAAAGTGTCTATCGTTCATCCCCGGATGATGGAGTTAGGAACCACATGGTGGATACCATTGGAAATGAAATGCGGGTGTTAATCGTGAGTAAGGAGGAGGTACGAACCGAGCTCACAAGCCTGTGCAAGCATAAGGCGGCGGGTCCGGATGAGATCCATCCAGCTATTGTCCAGCCACTGGCTGAGGTCATACTAGGACCTGTCACTGACTTATTTAAGGTCTCACTGACAGCCGGGGTAGTGCCAGAGGACTGGCGGAAGGCAACCGTGGTAGCAATTAACAAGACGGGGTCTAGACAGAAGGCGGAAAACTACAGGCCGGTGAGTTTAACGTCAGTGCTGCGCAAGTGCCTTGAACGGATAGTCAGAAATCAAATATGTGCGCACCTGGTAACCCATGGACTTCTCTCCCTGCATAGCACGGGTTTACCAGGAATAAGTCGTGTCTAACTAATCTAATTATGTTTCTC